GCCGAGTACGAGTGGGTCTCGCCCGACGAGACGGCCCGCCACGCCTTCAGCCGGACCTGGGGGGACATCCTGCTGCTGGCGGCGGACCACGACCTCTGTGTGGCGGGTGGGTTGGGGGGGGGGCGGTTTTGGCGGGAAAGGAAAAGGATTGGGATTGTTACAGCGTCCCGCGGTCGCCGCTCCTGGAGCCGTCCAGGCTCGTGGGATCGGACCTCAAAGCATCAACGGGAAAGGGCGTGCGGGCGTGGGTGGGGCCGGATTGGGGCGGGGCGGGGCCGTAGAGCGGTGGGGGGAAGCTTTGCGCTGGGGTGCCGCAAAGCGGTTGGGCGAAACGCACACAAATCGCGAACATGGGTCTCAACCTCAACAGGCGACGCCCTGGCGCACGTGGAGGCGGCCGGGCTGGGCCCCAGGGTCATCCCGCTGGTGCAGGTCTTCGCGCGCGTCAGCCCCGAGCAGAAGGAGCTGGTGCTCAACACGCTGCGCGACGCCGGCTGGGTGACGCTCATGGTGGGGGACGGCACCAACGACGTCGGCGCGCTCAAGGCGGCACACGTGGGGGTCGCGCTGCTCGCGGCGGCGCCCACGCGGCCGGGGGCGCAGGGGCAGGACAAGGGCGCGCGGCGGCCAAAGGCGGCGGGCGGGAGCGGCGGCGGCGCGGGCGCGGAGGGGGCGGGCGCGGCGGCGGCGGGAACCGTAGCGCTGCCGGAGCGGAAAGCCAAGGGCGGGAAAGGTGGGGCGGAGGCCGGACGGTTTGGGCGCAGCATGCTTAGTGGCCGCTCGTCCGGCATGCACACAGTGTCCGTGAGGGGTGGGCACGGGGTTTCTTCTGCGGGATGCGCACGCAGGGCGCTGACACCAGTGACGCTGACGCGATCCCGTCCCCTTGCACACTGCCGACGCCCTCTGCAGCTGCCCCCGCCAAGCTGCCCCCGGGCGCGGCCATGCTGGAGGAGATGCGGAAGAGCGGGAAGCCCATCCCGCCCGCCATGGAGAAAATGGCCGCGTGGATGGACAAGGTGGGCGCGGGCACTGCTGGTGTGGACGGGGGAGCGAATGGGTGGGTGCGCGGCAACGCGACGCCTTTGTCCCCGCCCGCTCCGCCCGCCGTGGCCGCCAGCGCCGCCGTTGGCCCGTGCGACGGCGGATGGGGCGCGCGGCGGCGGCGCGCGGGGCAGCGGCCCTCCCCTTTCTCCCTCCCTCTTGCCAGCCCCACACGGCCCCCTCGCGATCCCTGCGTCAAGAGCCCCGACCGCAAACCCCAAACCCCAAAACCAACCACGGACCGGCGACAGATGCACGAGGAGAGCGGCGCGGGCGCCGACGGCGGCCCCCCGCTGGTGAAGCCCGGCGACGCGTCCATGGCGGCCGCGTTCACGGCCAAGGCGTCCAGCGTGGCACCCGTCACGGACATCCTGAAGCAGGGCCGCTGCACGCTCGTCACCACAGTGCAGGCGAGGGGGCTGGTTTCGGGTTTTAGGGTTTAGGGGTCCAGGGTCGCGGGGTTTTAGGGTTTAGGGGTCCAGGGTCGAGGGGCGGAGGAGGGAACCTGTGTGATGCTTAAGTTTTGATCGTGACATGGGCGGCACCGGCGTGTGCGCTGGAAGTGTGGGAGAAGAGATGGAGATGACAGGAAGAATGCGTGAGTCGGCACTTGCTTTCAATATCGCGAGCGCGCTTTCCCTTTTTGGCACCCCTGCCTCTGTGCAAGTCCGCTCTCCCCGTCTCGCTCCACACATCCACACGCGCACGCACACGCTCCCACACCTGCTCGCCGCACCCCCCTCTATCTCTCCATCCCTCCTCGATCCCTGTCCCCTTCCTCCCACAACCCTCCCCATCACACGCACCTTTCCCCACCCCACCCCAACCCAACCCAACCCCCAACCCCAGATGTTCAAGATCCTGGGCCTGCTGTGCCTGTCAACGGCCTACGCCCTCAGCGTAATGTACCTCCAGGGAGTCAAGCTCAGCGACACGCAGGTGAATGTGTGGCAGCCGGGCCGCCGCGCCGCACGTGACACCACAGCGCGCCGGGGCAGGAGCCTGCAAGTTTTCTTGCGCGCGCACGGCGTGGAGGTGTGCGCCTGTGTGCGTGCATACGTTACCCATTTCTGAGTCGTGGCTCCCTCCCTCCAACCCAACCCAACACACACACACACACACACACACACACAC